ATATATATATTCATTATATTGTCAGTGGTTTGAATTAGAGCTCTACCGGTGATCTGATAAATAAGCTTAGTCAAGTTATTTTATCTCTGTCTAGCTTCTTTTCAGCCTTTTCTCTAGAGTTGGCCAGTCTAGCTTTGAGCTTTAAATGGCTTGCAACAAGCCTGGCTCTTGAGCTAGGGCTATAAAGATGTAAGGCTAGCAGGAAGACTTATGGGTTATTGGGATATCCTACATATGGATAGCAATGAACTGCTGAGGGCTTCCGGTATTTCTGCTACTGGGACCTGTCATATGGTTGCAAGCCCACAGTGGTGACAGCTCCAGGGACCATACCTGTCAGTGAAACAACTTGTCTTGCTGTTTCTCCTTTTGCAGCTGAGATTTTTAGTTCTTTGTTATGCAATGGTTTTGGTACATGATTTAAAAGGTTGTGAAAAAGCTTATCATTTCTGACCTAGGCACTGAACAGCTTTTCAGTGTCTTTTGTGTTCATAAAATACTCGCTCATCAGTGTGAGACCCAGTTGCTGTTGCGGTGCTCCAGATAAACAGAGTTATGAAATAATTGCAGATCGTGAATGTACATGCTCAGTTGTCACAGCCTCAAATACCCATTTCTGAAACTTGCTCACCTGGAGGTTTATTGTAAGACTTTTCCACAAGGGAAAAATGAAAGGTTATTGTAGGTAAAAATGACTGAACATTGATGTATTAAAACTAAGATTCATCTAGATGGCAGGGATAAGAAAGCATGTAACCATGTTACTGCAGCATAGACAGAGAGTTGTGACCTGGAAAATTATATACGAAGTAGAGAATTTGGTGGCTTTGACTATTTCATGTAGTATTCTAATAACATTCTAATAAGTAATTCATAAAGTATTCTAATAATATATATTGTTCTGATAACACTCTCAAACCAATTGTGTATATATTTTCTGTGTTAAAATGGGAAAAAAGATAGTTGGCACAGATACTAAAGTTTCTTATGCTGTTATGAGAACTGCTGGTCAAAAAAGAATGGGCCTCCTACTCCTGCATCTTTCCCATCTTTTCTTCTTTTCCAGAATCCTAGGGATGAGTATTTCTAGTATTCTCGACATCTGTACAATGTCAGTCATTCGTACCCCCTAGAATAATGTCAGCATTTGCCACCATCTGTAACTGCTTAGCACATTCTTTTCTTATCTTTGTTTTTAGCTGTACATCCTTGACTCCTGGACCTAGCTGTGATCGGTTTAAGCTGCATATCCCTTATGCTGGAGAAACACTCAAATGTAAGTTAAAAACTATTGCTATGGCATCTTGGCCTTTCTTTCAGTGTCCTACACCACATGAAGTTTTCCAGTGTGTCTAACTTATGAGTTTTGAGACACCTGTGCTTGTTGTTTTTTCTTAAAGCTTCAGCTCTAAGAATATGCAACTGTAGGAACATCTAATTTTTAACATAAGTTTACACCCTTCCTTGGTATTAAAAATTTGAAAACATGAATCCTGAAAGCCAAAAGTCACCTCCCAGTATTTCTAATAAAATGTTATGACTAAGACAATCTCATGACCATATTTAGACTTGCTTATGATTTGTATATGCTTTGTGTTGTTTCCTTCTCTTTTATGAAGAATCCTTTATTAAGCTCCAATAAAAGAAGATGGTCTGTTATCTTATTAGGTGCCTCTAAACAGTAACTGCTATAATTGGCCAAATTAGAGAAATATGACTTTGTTTTCTCTGGTTCAATGGTGTGGTTAAATCCTCCTTACTCTTGGAGGATCTGTAGATAGCTGGCTCATTTGTCTACTCTCCTATTAGTCTGTTTTGTTTCAAAGGATTAGAATAAAATTTGCTTTTCTGTGTTTTTAGAAGGTAAAAAAACCAGTTTTCTAAATACTTGAGTTGCTGAAAAATGATAAAGTGTTGTTTTCATCTTTTAACAACTGAAATATGAGAAGGGATGAAGAATTTCAGATAAAGTAAAATTTAAAGTTTGGTGATTTTAGATTTAGGGCAGCACTGGTGAAACCACATCTGGAATACTGTGTCCACTTCTCGCCTGCGTAGTGCCAGAAAGGCATGGACATAATAGAATGAGTCCAGCAAAAAACCACAGCAATGGCTGGAAGGCTTGAATCTCTGTTGTACAAGGAGAGGCCAAGAGAGTTAGGCAAATCTTACCAGTGTGTTATAAATAACCTCATGGGGGGAAATGGAGAAGATGGAGCCAGGCTCTTCTCAGTGGTGGTCACTGAAGGGAAGCAGTCACAAATTGAAATACAGAAAATTTCATTTAAATGTAGTAAAACCCCTTATTTTGCGAGGGTGGTCAATGAGTGTAACACAGTGTGTTCAGAGTTTGCATAGCTTGTATTTCTTCAATCTTGGAAATACTCAAAATGCATCTGGATGTGGGCCTTATCAATCTGCTTTCATTGCCCCTGCTGTGAGCTGAGGGATTGGACTAGGCAGTCTCTACAGATGTTGTCCAAGCTCAGGTACCCTGTGAGTCTGTGAGCAGAAATGGTAAACACTTAAAATACTGCTTTGATAGAATCCATTTAGACTGCATCATACATATGCTATAGCTCTCCAAGACATTTAAAATAAGGATGTTGTTGTATTCCTTCTATGGTAGTTTTTCTTGTCATTATGTAGTGCGCTGAAAGCTCTTCTTTGTGAGTAGAAATCAACACAATTAAACTTCTTATCACTAGAAGTACTTCAAAGCTTCCATTTGACACCTATAAGGAAAGTTGACTTTCCCAGAAGGTGGTCTAGAAGCTTGCTTGTGTGCTCAAGAGAGGAGCTAGGCTCGTGTATCAGTCTACATTATGCAGAATATTTAGTAAATAACGGCCTTATTTATATGAAGCCAACTACCCTGTTGGGTAGAACTTTTGTCTTTATTTAAACTTCTGTTTAAAAAAATGTGATACTGTGTAGCAGATTCAACCTGTTGAGTCTTGATGTGTTCTGCAGCGTGTGGTAGATTCTGCTTGAGACTTGTTTGATGACGATGATCAAGATGCGGTGAAAAGAAGCTTCACTGGATGATACTGCATTAGAGAATAGTATTTTATTTTCTATGGGACTGCAGTAACTCTCTTATTTATCAGCAAACAGGGCCCTACCTAGTACATTCTGAGAGCTCTACATCTTGGATTTAAGTAGAGGCTAGAATTGTTCCTGATTAATAAAGGAAAATTAGTAGATTAAAATGCCTGTATGCAAGGACATAGAAATACAGACTATACTAATATACTAAATGACTGTAGTCCAGTTAGAATACCTAGAATTATGATCATGGACTATGCCGTAAATATAAATACTGAGAAATCAACTGCTTACCCCCCTTCCCCCATTCTTTTATTTTGTATATCACATAAGCAATTAAATAAAACAACTATAATGCTACTGTTCTTCTCCATCCTTTGCAAAACTGAAACCACACATTCTAACCATATATATATTTTAACATGATCAATTGAAAGTTGTGTAAACAAGTGTATCTTCTCCCAGAGGTACCTAATAATAGCAGTGAATTCAAGTAATAATCATACTCCATATTTCATCATTAAATGTTTGGAAATGCTGTGAATTGTTCAGTCTCAAAGCATGTGGAATAAATAGTGACGTGAGCAGATTCAAGAAGCCTTTAATAATTTTGTGTTTAGATCTCTAATGACGGCAAGGGAAGGCAGTCATGGTGTGCTACCAGAGATTTGTAGATACTTTGTTGTAGGCTCTTGCTAGATACGTTATCTTTCAAAGGCAGAATATTTCTGCAAAGGAAAGTTGCGAAATCTGCCAGAATAAAAAGATTGGCTGAAAATGCTCAGAATTGCCAGTGTATGGTCTTTATTAAGTGGTACCAAATACAGGCTAAAGTGTGTAGTTCCTTTGTGGTTTGTGTTACATCCTCTTTGCAACAGATCAGATCTTTGCATATCATCAATCATAACCGCTGCCAGTGCAAATACCCTAGTATGAATCCTAGTGTGTTGAAAACTGTTGGTATGCTACTTTAGGGAAGTATAACTGCATAGTCACAGTCCTCGTTTCTGAAAGACCAGAAAATTCACTGTTTCTTGAAAAAGGAGAAAGTGTACTTGCAGGCAAAGCAGTGGCTGACTACCTGTAGCGTAAAATAATTGTTTTGCTAGCTTTGGTAAGATCTTGTAAACATCTTGTGAGTTAACAATGGCCTGTTCGTAATTTTAATGTGTTTTCTGGAGACCCAGTTAGGAATTTAATCGGGGTTTTTTTTCAGATGTCATGTTTCACCTCACTCTTGCGTGTATTCTGAGCTGTTGGCATGTTACATTGAACAGTTACTCACCTCCACTCAGGAAGCTTGGAGACCTTGGATATACCCAAGTTTTATACTGGAGAAAAAAATTATGTCAGTGTTGCAGATAAATTAGTTTGTCCTTCCAATTGCCTTCCATCACACTTCAGAAATTTGCAAGTGATGCCTTCAGAGAAACACTTTTACTTTATTTTCTTCTCTAAGGGAAACCACAAGTTTTGTGTTTTCTTGGCCAGAATGGTTAGAAAAGTTGAGTCTACTCTTGCTAGACTGTCAATTAAAATCTGAGGCAGACATATTGTTTCATTAGTTCATCAATGCTGTTGTGTTAAACTTATTGCTTTTCTTTATATTTGTGTTTTTCAAAGCTCTTAATAGGAGTTTTGAGACCAAGATAACTGTCTGCAATATCCAGTAAGAGGCTGAATCTGTGTTCCGTGCATAAAACTTACTTTAAGTGGCATGCACAGCTGTCCTTTATTGCTAACTGGACAACTATGTCTGCTAAGTAAAGTTTGGTATTCTTTTTGGAGAAGTATTTGTGTATTTTAAGGTGAAGGGTTTTGTAACTCTTGCAGATGTTTTGGTTTTCCTTACTAAACCATCAAGACAGATGTCACAGTGGAAACTGTCAGGATAAGCAGAGTTCTAAGCTGTAATGGTCTTTATTGAGTAATATTAATAATTAAAGTACACCATTAAGCATCAATTCCTTGGTCTTCGCAATTTTCTTCCAGTGAACCCTGGAATCTCTTGATTTTGATTTTCCTTTTTCACTCAAGCTTTCACTGCTTCTTGCTACTAAGAGAGCCTGACTCCTCATGGTGTTTTGTTTTCGTGTACTTTTTTTGCCTATGCTTTTCAGATTTTCTTTTCCAGGCGCTGGTGCCTCCCTCCCTCTCTGTCTTTCAGTGCTGTCGTCTGTAATTTCACAGTGATTAAACAATGTGTTGCCCTTGCAGTGCTACTGTTCTCTGTAGCCTCTTGAACTCTAGTATTTTAATCTTCTGTTTGATTTTCACTGTTTTTATGTGACTGGATTACAGCTCTGGGTTCTGCTACCACCACTTTGGTTTCCTTGATCCCAAAGAACGTTTATTTTGTCTCGTTTGAAGCTTAGATTTTCCTTTTTTTGCTTCTGATTTCTATTTTTCACTGTCTTACTCATTTTAGTTACAGGTCTTAGAGGAGGAAATCACAGTTTTGCTGCCTAACTTGTCTAAGTGACAAGTTATGATGGACAGCAACACCACGGCAAAAATAGAATTACTCCTGTATCTTCTCCCAGTAGTAGTTTTGTATTTACCAAAGTCGTATTGTCATTCCAGGAACTCTGTCTTTCTTGCCAACCAATTAATAATGGGCTCTATAGATAATCTATTACTGTATTTGACTTCAAGCCTCTAGAGCAAAAATCTTTGTAGTCGGATCCAGTGACAAGTCAGCAGGTCTGCATTTAGTTCATTTAAATCCTGTCATACTGCTGACTGCACTGACTTTATATCTTGTTTGCAGATTATAGTGAATGAATGATTATTTTTGTACCCATAAAGACAGTTGAAAATGTCTGGTTTAGGTAAGAATTAAGAATTATTTTATAGAGGGGATTGGTCAGTGGTTTTTGTCTACAATTTGTGTGGCTATTAGAAGAGATACGTTAGCATTCTGAATAGATGAATAATGTAAGTCTACTTACTGTCTTTTCCTCTTTAATATTAAACAAGAGCAATTTCTTTATTTTCCCAAAACTGATTCTACACATAGGGTTGGCCACTTGCTTCCACACTCTTCCCTATAATCTGTGAGTGCATTTCATGATGAGGTAGCATTCAGATTTTTTTATTTGTTTCTTAAAAGCCAAATGGCTTGATCTCCTTCATATGATGAATTCCATTCAGATTGGTCTTTTTCCAGGCTGCAGGGGACCCACGAGTTTATTCTACGTACTTAGTGCTGACTTAGATGTTCTTGGTGTCAGTAAAAGCTGAAGAATAAGATATTCTCTTAAAAGTAGAGTTTAGGAAGTTAACCGGTACATTGCTTCCTAATTTTGCTGCCTTCGGGTAAACAGGCATGTTGATGCAATGGCACTCCATCTTTCAGTACTACCAAATATAAAGTGTGGTTAATAAAAAGAAAGACTATCCCAAAAAACAAGTTATCAGGAGAGGAAAAACTATATATAGGATAGGCCAGCGGAAAGCAATTACAAGGATTTAAGAAATTTGTCCGTTTGAGAGTTACAATTCTCTTGGTCGTAGTCAATCCTTACCACTTTGTTAGACTTGCTTGTGCATTTGGTAGATGAGAGAAGAACATGTGTGTGTGTTAAAAAAATGATAGATTTAAATGAGGGGTGTTTTTTGTTTTGGGTTTTTTTTTTTTGTTTTTGTTTTGGGTTTTTTTTTTTTTTTTTGTCCATTGGGAGCATATTATCTTTTCTTTTGAAATCCTGTAAAGTAAAATATTTCAAAATTTAATGCTGTTTGCCTGAGGAGAAAAAAAGGAAGAGAAAGTAATATTTCTGGATAATAAAAAGAGAAAGATCTACTATACATCCCTTTTCTTCTAAAATTATCTTTGACCCCATGGCTTTAACTTTATTAAAGTAATTTTAAATTCTGTGGTAGTATTTAATTGGAAATGTAATTCCACTGAAGTAATTATTGGCTAGTATATCTATAGAAACGAGATAAATATGATCTAAGTGTGAAGGTTTTGCTTGCCTTGTTCTTGGTCATGGTCAGTAGCGCTGAGAACTCCACTGTCAAGAGAATAAGGGCAAACAGTTGAAACATGAGGAACTGCATACTCATGTGCTGGAGATGCAAAGGGAAAGGGTATTTGTTTCATTTAGGTGAGAAGGGGAGAGAATGCAGGGGGTTTTGGTGGTTTTATTTTCCAAATTAAAATGGTAACCATTCTCAGACTCTTTAGGACAATAATTTTGCAAATGGTTTTATTGGTTGAAAATTTTACGGTTTCACCCCGGCACAGTTATATTGAAAGAGGGTGAACCACCAGTAAACTATGCAAATATTACACAAAGTAGTCGCTAAGAAAAAAAAGAAAAAGTGTATTTCTACTAAGTCAGGACAAACTGGTAGCCTGTGATTCAAAAAATTTAACATCTTATATTCTGTAAGCCTAATGCAGAGACTAGTGTTAATATTAATGTGAAGTAAAACCAGATTTGCTGTTGCTTTGGTCATTGCTTTTGTTTAAATACCTTGTATTTGACTATAAAGAAGCATTTTTTAATTCATGTGTCGTATTCCTGCCAGGCAAACTGTTAACTGCAGTTTTAATTTCTCTGGTTTGTGGTATTTGACAAGAACAAAATTCAAATTTAGGATTGTTTCCCTTAGTCTTTAGTCTGATTTTTAATGGTGTATTTTCATGGAGAATATACAACTTCCGAAAATAGCTCATGCTCGTATTTGTGAATAGAGCAAACTCATTCCTAAGTACCCAAGCTTTTGAGAGTCAGAGGTGTTGCTTTTTCTGTCCAAGTATGGTAAAATAAGCAAGACATAAGAGAAACTATATGGAAGGGGAGAGCGCGGAACAGAAAAGATACAGAGGCCAGGGATCAAATGGGTGAATGTCTAATATGGTTCAGAAAAGAAGTTCATTTTTCTTTCCTTTTGTCAACTAGCTGAATGCCTTTGGATTCATGGCATAAGTGAGACTTACTAGAAAAAGATTTGACTAAGGGGATACTTTTTTCTTTTTCAAGTCCCCCCCAAAAAATTCTAAGATTGGATCTTCAGTAGTAATGTGCTGTATTTAACTGCCAGAATGAAAACTACTAATGATAGAAAGCACTGGTTTTTTTCGAACTGTTTACGTTGAAATGGAAGTACCATTTTTTTCTGAAGTTTTTTGTTTAATGTCACCCAGCCTGTGTGAGGTTTGATTGTAACAGAATAAATTAGGGTTTACATTTGGATAAAAACCTATGGTACTTTGGAAAGAGAGTGTTGTGTTTCTGGTTTAGTTAGGAAATAAGGACAACAGCATGATTTGTTTGGTTCCATGGGGTTGTAAAATGTTTCTAGTATGTCTCAGCACTAGTGTTTTGTGATTGTATGATTAACAGGCACTGAAATAATAGTTTCGCTTAGTTTGGAGAACCTGGGGAACCCTTCAGCCAGGTACTGTATAGCCTTTCGGAAAATGACTATACTATAGGGAAAAATAATCTTGAGATACACATGGGTTTTAAAATTGCTTTTACTAAAGGGTCTTGGGAGTTTGCATGAGAGGCATGTTTATCCTGGGCAAGTAGAATCAGTTACAGCAGTTATAAGTAATAGTAACAGAAAATAAAATGTCACAATGTTAATTTTGACTCTGGATTCTGTTCCTTGCCCTGAATAGTTCTGTGATGGCAGTAGGGCATGAAAACTTTTAAAACCAAACTATCTGCATAGTTGGTCGCTCACTGTGAATAAGGAGTGATATGCCACTCAGTAGGAGAACGGGTGTGACAGAAAGTAATAAAGAACAACTATGAGCATGTGAGAGAGGTATTAGATTGATTTGACCAGCTGCAACTGTGATGTGCCTGACTTCACTGTGACCATGCATCACACCTGAGTGGTCAGAGAGGGTCCTGTCCTCGGCTATTGGCCCTGATTCGACACCAGGAATCACTGCAGGGATATGCAGCTGACCCGAACCCCAAATTGTAGAAGTTTACCACTTAACATTTTAAACTAATAATGCCAATTTCAATTTATTGTCATACTTCAGCACTGCATATGATGATGTACTGGGGACTGCTGTGAGTTCTTGTCATGTTGCTGTAGAACTGAAAACACTGGGGGGAAAAGTTTGTACCTGCTTGAACCTTCACATTGTACCTATTGTCACAGCCTTGCTGAAGTTCACCTGTTACTGTGGAGCTTGCAGAGTTGAATACGGTTTATGGCAGTCTCACTACTCTTAAAAAAGAGTTTTGGAGCCACCTCATGTTGTAAGGCTCTCTAATAGTTTTTCACTAATCAAATATGGAGTTATAACATAAAAAGTATGCAGTTATTTTGATCCTTCTTATGTTCTAAGCAGCCTTTTGTAATATCTGTGTAGTTGGAGTGCAACTCCTGGTGAGCTGAGCTGTAGTTATGTGCACTCTGTTTCATCAACTCTGTTAAAGCAGGAATCCAGAGAATGAAAAGCACGCAACTAGCAACTGCAATATGAAAAGTATGCGTTAAATGAGTTACTTAACATCACAGAAGAACATGGTAAAACCACAGATACAGTTCTTCCCTTTAGAGTAGCACTGGGTTACCTAAGTCACAGGCCAAGCCTTTTCGTTGTGCTGTGTTCCATGTTACTCCTAACACACCTTTATCTATGAAGCAAAGGTCAGCCAAAGAATGTATGAAGGTGCCATATCCCTTAACACATAGCCTCAGGAGTTGCCTGCTCTGGATGTAGAAATAGGTAAGGTTGTTGTAAGGAGCGATACACAACATTTTAATTGTAGTAAATAGGAAGAAAAGAATTGAGTTACGGTGTTATAGGAACTATCCAGTCTAATAAATGTCAACTCTTCTGAATTCTTTGTTGCTGTATTAAGGTTTAGGCAGTCTAGTAAGTATTTTCTCTTACTTAATATAGGTGCATTTCTTGTTGCAAGTTCATGTAGTTTTCTCTAGGATTGGTGCCTGTTTTGTTCTTCTTTTAAATGAAATAAAAGATTGATTTTGTTGACTGCGTTGGGTATTTTAACTGGCAGACCTTTGTTATTTCCCGCATGCCATACTTATGTGTGCTCCTGACAGTTGTGAAAGGAAGAAGCATGGACAGGATAAACCCACACTGTGCTCTGCTGAGTCCCATGATCAGTGAGTTCATGATTTAGAGTGATACTGTAGAGCATACCTACTGCAGACTGGCTGTTAGCTTCTTAGTGGTGAGCCCTCATCCTCTGCAAATTAATCTTTACAGCATCCTTGCTTCCAGCAAGATAAGTTTGCATAATATTAGCAATTAAAACTGTCACGTTGAATGTCTTGTGTAGGTACTGACTTCTTTCTTCTAATGCTTGCTACCTCACAAATATGCTTTATGTAAAAGGTCAGAGTTATGCTGTCATATCTTCATAAAGAGGAAAAAGTGATTGGGATGAAGACAAGTAATGTTAGATAGATTTATTTTTTTTTAATTTATTTATTTTTTAAGAGCTCATGTGCAGATGACCACCTCAACCTATATGAGCTCTGAAGTATGTTTACTAGTGAAATAATACAACCCAAATTTCATTGAACTATCGCATCAGTAATTAACTGCATATCTTGTGACATTGGTAAGACGAGAACTCGGTGCCAAGCTGTGATGAAGTTTTATGGTTTTAGTTAATTTTAGTCTTTCCATTTAAATGCATAATACTGCATTTCTCTTGGCTAGAATTTGGATAGTTGGAATGGTTCCTATTGAACTGTGTTCTTCCTTCTAAGAGTTGGGGGTGGCAAGAAGAATAAGGAGTAAGTGCTACTAAGTTTTGAAAGCTTCAGTATTTTGAAAATTCCAGTCTTAGTAGTTTTCATTTGACTTTAGCTTAATATGCCAAACACAGCAATCTAAATGTGGTACTCCTTTTTAAAAACAAGATTACTTTTCTAACTTGGTGGTTTGAGGCAACCCTCAGTAGTGTTTGAATTGCCATTTGAGATATGAAGCAATAATGTATTTCATGTTTCATTGCTTGCAGAGGAGGAAGAAGCTGTGCCTCAGGAATTTGACTTCATGCCCCAAAACATCTGATGCTTATCTTGCATGTGAAGTTTTGTAAAATATATGGATATATACACGAAATATATTTAATATAGCTATCAAAGTTTATATTAAAATGTGTTATCATTTATTTATTTATAAGCACATACATACAAATTCAAACAATATTTTCATTTATGTTTTTTCAGGGGATATAATTTTCAATGCTCACTATCCTGACCTGCCACCAGATTTTATCTTTGGAGAGGATGCTGAATTTTTGCCAGATCCTTCTGCCTTGCATGTAAGTACTTCACTATTTGAGAACCTTATACCATGCAAAGAGACTTGTCTTTTTTAAAATAGCTTCAGCAGTAGGAATTTTCTAACAATGCAGAATAAAGAAAAAATATCACCTTTTATCTCATTGTTATGTGAGTATAAACGCTTTGTTTTCTAATGTGATTTAAAGTTGAATCCACAAATGTGAGGAATCTTTTAATATTTTAATCAAGATGACATTTACAGTAATTATTCAGAGTATCTTTAGAAAGACATCTATTTAATATTTGACCATCTTAAAAGGTCTGTCTCATCAGAAAGGATTGATCAATTGTGTCTTAAAAAAAACATTTGGAAAGTAGCATAATTTTGTGTAGATGTTGATTTCTGTTTTCCTGTGAGGAGGGATAGAGCCAGGTTGTATGTTGTTGGAACCACTGCATCAAAGAAAGGTAGCTGCTTGTATGTGTTAGTGTTACCATAAAGACAAAGCAATGCCTTTTTAAAAGGTGTGAGGGTCAAAAATTAGCAATAAAATATTTTTACAGTCTTATTACTATGGAAAAGAAATACCACAACCTGAAACCAAGCATTTTGTTGCCTGTTCAAAATTAGCCTCAAGTAGTAAAGCCTTGTTTGAAGAATCATAGAATCACAGAATGGTTTGGGTTGGCAGGGACCTTAAAAGCTTATCGAGTTGCAACCCTTCTGCCATGAACAGGGACACCTTCCACTAGACCAGGTTGCTCAAAGCCCCTTCCAGCTTGGCCTAAAAAGAAGCTATTTATGCTTTTAAAATGTTTCTCCCTCTCAGAAGTTAATAAAGCCATATTAAGGTGTCATGGCGGATGAACACAAGGCAGTGGCCTCAGAGTTGAACACGTCCTTGGCATGTGATGTTTCAGATATGTTCTTTTTTGGTGTTAACTTCATTCATTTCATATTAAGCTAAATTAAAAAGCTACACAATCTTAAAATAATTAGTTTTAATACGGATTTTTAACATACCTAGCAGAATTTTTGAAAGGTGAATGTCTTCTTTCCTTCCGCCAATCACTTTTCTGTTAAACTTGCAGGCTCTTTTGGGAAGGAGGCACACTGCTGCTGAAGAGTTATTTGTTAGTCATTTACAGGAAAGGGTTTTCTTTATATGATAAGTCTAGAATTGTTTTTACACTCTTTTCATTTATCACTTCTCCTGTTCTCCCCTTTTTATGTTTTGTTTTTTTAAATCTTGCAACTTCCTGATAAGTATTCATACTAACAACCACTTTCTACACTTGATGTTAAAGGAAGAGGAGCACTTTTTAATGTACTGAAAAGCTGAAATTAATAACAAAGAGAAAATGAGATATTAAATAAAGATAATTTGGGGCATCTTGCATAAATGCTGTTCAGATGGAGAAGCTTCTGAGAGTGATATGGTGCCATATTTCTCTCTCATGTGAAAAGAAGTCATTAGCACTTGTGATCCACAGGGAAAGCTGCAAGGATAAAAACTTAACTTAGTTTTCTTTCTTTCTTTCTTACATTGTTCATTAATGATGCTTCTTCTGTGAGTGTTGCTTTTCTTCTGCCTAAGCATAGAACAGATTTCCCGTCCTCTTTGTTGGACAGCATCTTGAGGAGCCATTCGCTCCTTGATAGATGATGATATATGAACCAGCCTATTTTAAAATTAATTAAAAACAAACCAAAAAAGAAATTTGCAAGTCAACAGCGTTTCTTTGGTCATTATGCCTTACTGTAGTACTCACTATGTAAATGTAACCTTTTTTGATAAGGTTCTTGGTCATTCTTTTGCAGTCCATCCTGATGTTATCGGAGGGCATTATCTCCACCTTGCAGCTGTGGTCTATATGGAGTATTTTTGCTTTTGCATTCTACCTTTTATGTTCAACATGGTTTTCAGAGTTTTTCTTCAGAATGTTACATTAACAATTATGCAAAATATTTGGATAAGTCCCTTTTTTTCCACAAATCTCAGAGCTGTTTAATAAAGATAATTTTAATTGAATTCTAAGATATTAGCAGGATTCTTTTATGTGTTACTGTATCTTTCTATGAAATATAAGTAAAAATAGATTAGCATATTGAACGTAATCTAATGCTCTTAATCTTGAGCAATCTTCAGATATTTTTGATGCAACAGTTCCTGGCAATCAAAACAGAATCTACCATGCACAAAAGCATGTAGATGGCATTAAACGAGGAGCACAGTCTCTTAGTAAGTAATATGTGCAGCTGGATCTGTGGGAATTCTGACACTGAGCCTTCCTGTGCTGCTCTCATCTGCCTGAGAGTCTTATTTTCCAAGCAGAAGTCATCACACGCTGTTACATGGCTTGAGTCAGGCATTATGCTTAGCTTGAAATGAGAATGAGGTATTCCAGACTCCTCAAGCTTATGTGGCTCTAATAGAGGCTGTCAGAGCTTGCTGAAGACATTTGAATGGCTGTACTGCAGATCGCTTCAGTCGCCCCTTCAGTTTCCATGGCCATGGGCAGACCTTCGAGTTAGATTTTCACCAAGCATGGTAACAGCTGTTCAGTTAAGCAGCTTATAGGCAGACAGCTAAAACAAGATTCCAGAAATACTGCATTTTAAAAAGTAGATGCTGTAGGTGAAGATTTCATACTATGGTTTGGTTTTGTTGGGTTTTTTCCTGAAGAATTCCTAAATGGTTTTGAGAGTGTTTCAACAGTGGGGTGTTATATTGAGCACTCCTTTTTTTTATAAGCAGAGCTAATCAACTGCTTTGTTAAATCAGTATTGCAATTGCAGATTCAAGTTGAAAATGCTCATTGAAACTGAGCTTTGCTTCTATGTCTTGCACAAACATTGTAATATAAGTCACTTCAGTTTGAAACTCATGTTGAGTCTCAAGTTTAGCACTGCAAAATATATGCTTGATTACCAGAAGTACTTACTCTGCTGGTCACAGGGTCTGATTGTGTGCATTCTGATCTAGAATGATAGAGACATCGAGGAACAATTTAACAGACGAGCAACTGTTCCTTTTATTTTGGGTTGGGTTCTTTTTTTAATATAGTTTTAATTACAGTCAGAGGGCTAAATTCTTCAGGTTGATGATGCTATTCACGCTAGAAATAAACTTTATTTTTTTATTTTCATTAAAAATGTCCTCAACTATCGCATGCATTTGGTACTTGTGTATCGTATGCATAAATAAGATCAGCTTCTCAGAATGTAAATAAAAAACTTCTTCCCTGCTCTAGTGTTTATTCATTTTGGATGACAAGTATTAGAAATGTATTTTAAAAACAACCTATGATTCACTCAGTTCTGATTAAAAATTCAGTTGGCACAAAACAAGATTAGTGATTGTGTACGGATGAGATTAATTTGGAGCTCATTACAATGACGCCAGTTTGAGTAACAAGAATTGTTTGTTATGTTAGCCTAGTTGATTGTTAATGTGAGCCAGTTAATAACTGAAGTGCTTATACAAAATGTTAACCCCGTTTTTCCAATGATTTTGAAGTATATTCTGTTTGGCAAAGAGGAGAAATAGCAATATATGCAAGCTAACTGTCAGTTTAAGGATTTGGGTTTCTTAGCATCCTACTTCAGGTCCCACCTAGTCTCCACAGAATTATTCTGCCCACCCATTGATATCAAAAAGGCTCCATTAGCCTTATTTAGGATGGAGGCAAGAGGACATTAGCATTTCCTGAAGCCTAGTAAGTGCTGAATGGGGTCCTTGTGGGATAGTATATATGGGAATACTTAGTGGCATGCATTGGTGTGGGAGAGGGAGGAGGGTATTGACATCACAGAATAATGGACCACTGCAGTTCTCATGCCAGTACGTAGTATTGGGGAGATTGTTTCCCTTTGTCTAATTGTTATTACTGAGTGCACATTTCAGTCACTGTGGAGTTGATTCAGCTAATTGTGCTCATTGAGTGAATTGGCTGTCATGCTCTATATCTTGAGTAGAACAATATTTATTTTAAGTTCTTGTATTAGACTCCGTATTTATCATTTGGCTATATGATGACTGTCATGAAGGCTGTATTGCTTTCTGTGGCTGTGTTCAAAATCTTAATTATTGTTACTGTCAACTTGGTGATTTAGCTTTTAATTAGTATTATAGATATCCTTTAAATATGTCCCTCTTCCATAATTGTTCTTCATTTACTATCAGGTGCATGAGACGGATATTTAACAGCATCGATTGTTCCTATGCTCACAATAACTACAAAAAAGCCCAAACACCCCTTGTGTTAGCTAATGCCATTTGAACTATTTTGTTCTAAAAAGTCTGCCTGTTGTATTATTGGCAAAGACGCAGGTGTTACGTGTTCTAGTATGAAAGTCCCACGTAAGAGCAATGAGCACAATTGTTTTCACACTCTGACATTAAACTTTAAAGTCACGGCAGTGGGTTCTCTTTGTCTGGAAAACGTGTGGGTAAGTTCAAACTATTTTGGCATTACTGTCTCTTCTGCTTGCTTTATTTGGGATGGCAGCAGCAGATTTCATTCCTGGACCTCTAAACCTATTACGTTTGGACTGAAAGCCTTAAGTTACTTTGTTTTCAGTTGAACCTGGGGAATTTAAGTGAAACAGAATGCAGGATTGGATCCTGCATTTCATTAGAATTTTTTTTCTTGTTTTAAATGTCTTTATATTTGCATTTTTTGTGTTCGCTTTTTAGTCATGTCCTGACTTTCTATGTCAAGATGTGTTTTGATGATTTATAATCCAGTGCTATTTCCTGTTTAATTTTCCAAAACAAATGTGAATTCTGAAAACTGTTTGTTCCTATCCTTCTATATTGATCCTACCCGTTTGTATGCATTGGAGTTGTATGTGTGCGTATATATACACATATATATGATAAATACATATAGTTGCTGAGGCTTATGTGGTATGGATAGGCAGTAGTAACGAAGTCACATTTTATACCATCAGAAGAGTAACTGAATTCAGTAACTTTCCCAGCAGAAGGACCTTTTGGCCAGTATTGTTGGCTTTTATGGTGTACATTTTTGT